ACAGGACCATAAATATCAATGTAAAGGACAATCATTCGTGGATGTTAGCGAATATGTAACTTTATCACTGAATGCAAAATTGCTACTACAGGCTGCATAAAGTATCACAATACTGAACCATCACTTGAATTCTATTTGTCATTCTTAACTTAGAAGTTCAGTGACACCATTTTAATGATTTTTCTATATTATTTGGTGTAAGTCAAATAATAAACATAGTGAAATTTTGAGTAATTTTTATCAGCTATTGCATGCAACACTATACTGAGATACTGATTTCATTTAATTACACAATTAAAATTATAATAGTTCGATATCCTTGAAATCATTGCTCTTTAAAGATAAGGAGACCCTTTGAAAAAGCCTTATATTGAGCTTTAGAATCTAGCCTAAAAAGTAGTTATCCTACATAATGATAATAAATATAAAAATTATACAGTTACTTCTAGTATATTTATTTTTGTCATACCGGGGCTAGGAATGCCACACTTTTTTGCAAATCCCTCAGTTTTCAATGCTTGTACATCATTGTAAAGAGTTGCTCAGCACTAAGCAACTCTGGTTGCAACGCTAATAGTTATTGTCTTCCACCTATATAAAAATGATATTCCGTTTCAATAGCAAATTCTACCTGAAACTGTGAAGCATGAGAGTCATAAGCCATTGCCTCAAAAATTTTGAAGTTATTTAATAAACAATGCTATGACAGAGCGTAACCATTAGAATAGAATTTATACTTGGACAACATATCGGAGCATTCCATCACAACACAGTATGATGTATAGGCAAACAAAAAGTCAATTAATTTTAACAATAACATATTAGATATGCATAATTTGCACAGATAACCACCACAGTCAATGGAACTGTCTTGTTTGGGTACAAACTGTTGCAATAATAAACAAAAATTTGTAAGTTTGTACTGTCACGAAAAATTGTCCACCTGAAAATTTATCCTTGGATAGAAATATCACGTGATATTTTATATCCGCGTCAGCAATTTTTTGTCCTACCAAAAAAAAAGTGTAAAGGAACTGTAAATCTTTGTATTCGACTTTGTTCCTTAATTATTTATCTATGGAATACAAGTACAAAGCATGTGGGACCCTTTATTATATGTTCAAAGTACATAGAAGAAGATTTCAGATCAAAGAAGGATGACAGACTGTGTCAAGAACCGAACCCAGAAAAGAATTAAGAGGATGATCTTGTGGAGAAGGCAGCTGTGTATAGAAAGTGTCCAGAAGGTTGTAGAGCTAACAGAAAGAGGCAGATATGGAAAAGAGCTGAAAGTTTGTTGTCAGTGCAAACTGAATGGGGAACCGTATTACCAGACCAAGATGACTGAATGGTCAACTATATCATGATAGTGTAGGTGTTTTGTGTATTTTAAATAGTTTAGTTAGTTATGTGTATATATGTATGCATGTAGTATGATATCTGTGCTTTTGTAGACAAACTCAGTATGTATATGCATCTGTATTCATGATTTGAATAATTAAATCAAAGCATCAATTATAACAAACTGATATATGATAGCTTGCCCAGCAATGGTATTGATAAACGTACCAGGGAGCAGATAGCAGCAATACCGAAATGCACCAAGTACAGGGAATTAAAGTGACTGTTCCTAGTATGCAAATTAAGGCAAAATGGACAATAAGATTGTGGTTTATGTGCCCTTGCTTTAGCAATGTCAATTTGTGCTGGTTAATACCCAACTTCTTGCAGCTATATTTAACATAAGCTTCGTTTCCATCTTTTATAATGCTTAGAAAAGAATGTGATGTCTTTGTTTTTTACTTGTTTAAGAGCTAGATGCCCTGGACTATCCAAAGAATACAGGTTACCTATATACTGCTTGAGCAGACAACCTATAGTAATGAAGGAAGAATGGTAAAATGTTCTTAATGTAAGGAGTGGTATCACGTAGAGTGTGAACAAATACCAGAAGATGTTTGGACTGATAAGGACTACGTTTGGTCATGTAATTGTTGTAAAAGTTGCATGAAGACAATTATTGTGCGATAATGAAATGTATTATTATTATTATTATTATTATTATTAATAATAATAATAATAATGGATTTTACAACTTAAATTGACAAAAAGGAACAAATAATTAAAAATTCAAGGACAATGAGCAGTTGAAGGCTTATACTAAAAAGTAAAAGTAAAAGCCCGAAATAGAAATAATTATAAT